TGTGACTCTCTGGGGGGGGGGGGGGCGTGGTTAGTGCGGGGTTGCACCACCCCATCACAGGGTGTTTCTAATGTTGAAGTGTTCTTTTTCTATTGGTCAATGTATCATTCCTCTCAACTTATTATCATATACATCAATTTGTTACCATGGCCATCCTGTGTCCTGATTACTCAGCTCAGCTTGAACCAGTTATTTTGGGACTTTCATAATAATGATCAGGGCTCGCCGAACCACAGCAAGCCCCACTTGCCAGCCGCGCTGCCTGGCGATGTGCACATGCGCAGATCACCTGAACCCGGTTCTTCCAGGTTGCAATCTACTCGCCATAGGCGAGTAGATTGCATTATTTGTCGAGCCCTGATAATGATGCATCTGCTGAGTCTGAGAGTATTTTCCCTACCATCCTATATAGGTGAAAGGTCCCAGACATAAGTTCCCCTTTTCAGTCCAGGAAAGCTCTAAATATGCTATGACCTATGTCTGGGTGAGATCAGTGTCTCAACCACAAAAATCTGTTAACCTTAGCTTCTGCTGATCTTGCATCAGCCTGTTACAGCCTTTAGCAGATTTCTTGCATTACAGCTCTAACTATTCCCTCTGTTCTAAATGTAACTATTAATATATTAATGAATTAATCTAAATCAGCATAACCATATTATTAGCATGACAGGCAAAACAACTTGATAAGCTACAAGTTGGACATTCAAAATCATTAGTTACTTTTGAAAATGTGAGCCATTGAATTCAATGGGCTGGAGAGCAGAGCCTTAGCCTCTTTGGGTTTCCATTTACCCGTAGTTGAATGATTACAATAATATGTAGCCACTTCAGACATCTATTGCATGTCTACACTGGCGCAATCTTGCGCCAGAGTTATGCAAATGAGGCTAAGCGTGAAATATTGCTGAGCCTCATTTGCATACCTAATGAGCCGCCATTTTGTGGAAGAGGCTCTGTGCCAGAAGGAGCTTTCTACACTGCCCCTTCTTGGGCAAGAAAAGCCCTCTTGCGCAATGCCGTTATTCCTGAAAATAATCAGCATAGCAGCATTGCGCAAGAGAGTTTTTCTTGTGCAAGAAGGGGCAGTATAGACAGCTCCTTCTAGCGCAAGAGCCTCTTCCACAAAATGGCGGCTCATTAGGTATGCAAATGAGGCTCAGCAATATTTCACGCTTAGCCTCATTTGCATAACTCTGGCGCAAGATTGCGCCAGTGTAGACATAGTCCTTATGTTTGGAAAGGTGCTTTGAGATCTTCAGATTAAATATATGTAAACACTATTGTTACTATTTCCACATTCTTTTCATAAGCAAGATCACAGTGTACTTAAATCCTATATGCGCTGTGATGATAAACTGTAATGTACAGCTAATTGTACAAAATAGACAGCAGGCAGGAAACCACATCATACAAAATTAATTGCTAGGATTTCATGGTTGTGACTGCTTCAAGTTAGCACATCACAGCAGTGCTGGGGTTACAACATTGGCTTTGTCACTGGAAGACTGACAGTATTCTCAAAGGGTGAGTAGCTGTGCCTTCTGCATAAATTCTCAAGGCTGAAGCCATTCATATCACCAGACCATGACCACACAGAATGCTGGGGACTAAGTGGTTGCTAGAATATGTCATTGAGCAACCTGCAACACCGCAGGGAAGCTTGTTTGAAGAATAGGATGTGCTTGAATAGGTCTCTGCTCAGCAGATTGCTGTGAGCCAGAGCTATCCTCCAGCTGATTTGGTGCTACAAGCCTCCACAATGAGGAGCAGAGGCAAGAAGCAAAGCCAGAAGAATGGGACACATTCTGAGGACCCCTCTCTTTCTTGGAGCAACAGGGTCACCATGACAGTCACGAGGGATGGATACCAGAGCGGGAAGACTTACACATGCACAGTAGCCTGAGGCTAAACTACAACCCACTGTTTTCCCACACACTGGGGGAAGAGGGGAGAATACTGGCCTCTTCCTCTCAAAATGGGGATTAAAAACTGGGATCCATTGGCCAACAGGCTCTGGTACTGGCCATACCTCTGGAAAATTGGGCAAGAGGAAGGTAGGCACACTCCTTGAGACACAAAAATGGAGAAAACAGCACAAAGACAGCCAGTCCCCCTTCCTCTGATGGTCAAACTCAGTATAACTTTGGGGAAGTCATTGTCCGTGGCAACCCCCAATTAAGGGCACAGAGCAAATCCATTGGCCATACCTCCTTCCTAGGAAATATCAGGAAAATGGCAGTCCTCACTGCAGCACACAAGTCAGCATTATGGACATTTTAGAAGAGGTCAGTATTTCTAAAAACTGGATTTTTATGTATAAAATGAATTAGTAAAAATTACTTTGGATATGTTGTAACCCCTATTGTTATCCTTTAAGAAAAGCAGTAGCTGGGGACATGTCTACATTAGGGAGTTATTTCAAAGTAACTCCCCTTATTTTGAAATAACAAGGCGAGCATCTACACTACCAACCCCATTATTTCGAAATAACAGGCTTGTTATTTTGAAATAACTCCTGCTTGTGAAGAGGAATACTCCATGCATTCTTACTATGCAGTGTCAGATATGGAGTCGTAGTCTCTGTCGATGGTGGTTATGGGGTTGAAACTAAGCAAAGAGACAGATAAAGAAAAAAGCCATTGCTGACAATTACACACTTAAAAAGAGAACCATGGTGATAAGGAAAAGCAGACAAAGGCTTGGCAGGAAGTGCTGATCTATCTAGTCTGGAAAGTATGGTTTGTCCATGCTGAGCATTAGTAATTATAGTGACTTTCCTCTGCCGGTGCCACCTTGGGGTTAGGAAGAGTTTTGCTGATGTCCAAGTCTCAAGGAAGTTGATCCTTTTGTGAAGGGCTCTTTCAATGAGTCATGCAGAAATGTTTGGAAGACAGTAAAAATAAAGAGTGAAAAACCTGCAAAAATGGATTTACAGTGCTTACAGTTCCTGGATATTAGTGTAGCTATCAAAATCAAGTGTAAATTACACCAGCTTCTTAAAGTCTCCCTCCTCTTAAAGGAAATAAATTACTAAAATAGTATATTAGGAAAAATGCAGTGAATAAAAGTTCTAGATTCAACAGAGTGACTTTGTGGCAAACAAGATCCAGTGAAGCTAATGCACTTTTTCAAGTAGGGTTTGATATATGAATTTGACAGCAAAAGCTATTCAACTTGGCATCAAGTTTTCATTACCTACACTTAAGACATTTATCACATAAGTACCCTGTCATCTGTATATAGAGATCTTATTTTCTATCAACAAAGGGAGAAAGATGTGAAGATTCTTGACTTGTTGACCTTATTCTACAAAACAAACTCTTGTTTATGTTTCAGGTTGATGGAAAGAGAAGTAGCAGAAACTTATTCTTTGTTGGCAAGAATTTGACTTGTCTATTTTTCAGCCTCCTTCAATACAAAGGTTGGGATTTTATTGAGGTTAGAAAAAGTGTGAGCTTTTTGAAGAAGACCGTGGCCATGATGTATTTTGCTACTAGTAATCTTCTCTCAGGACCTCTTCAGATGGAGAACAAGTATGAGCCTGCTTATAGAAATGGCATTGTTTTATTTGTGTAAACAAGACAACATATTATTCTTGATAATAAACCTAATAAAAAGATAAAGGAGGGGATGACGACACAGGGCAATGCTTTTCTCTCCTGTAAACCAGGAGAGAGCTTTGCCAGTCGTTGGGTATCACTGTACATAAGAAGTCGATTCCACTAAGTAGTCACAGCATTATGAAACATCAATCAGTCTTCCAGGGGCCAGCAAATATATATTACAAAACAAGGCCCACATCCCACAGCTTGTGCGTGCTGCTGCCCCTATGCGGAACCTTACTGCAATCAAGGCACTGCATTAAGCTTGCTATAACAAGTTTGAATGCCTAAGAAGTAAGGCCCTACCAATTTCATGGCAGAGAAAAATACGTCACAAACCCTGAAATTAGCCCTGCCCCCTGAAATCTGATCTCCCAGAAATCAGCTGGGTTGGAAAAAGACAGGGCTTCTCCATCCCCTGCTGGGCTGTTCTTGGAGGGAGATCAGACCCACTTCCACAGGCAGCACAGAGGTGAGGTCACTTCCATGCTGAAGCAGCCCCAGAGCTGGGCTTCAGACTCCAGCACAGGCTCGGGGGCACTTGGATCAGGGGTTGCTGCTGCCTCCCCCCACAGCTCCTGCAAGGGCTGAGGGCTCCCTGAGCTCCAGCCAGGGCTTTGGATTCCAGCTCTGGGATTGATGCTACTTCCCCCCCTCCCCTGCAGTTTCTGCCAGGACTCTGGGCATTCCAGGTCTCTGTTCCTTCTCTCGTAGCTCAGGAACCCTGAGCTCTAATTTGCTGCCACCGCCTCCTCACTTCTCCCCTGCAGCTCCTGCCAGAGCTCAGTTCCTTGGAGCCTCGTGGTTTCTGCTTAAGCTTAGGACGTCTAGGCCCTGGATTGCTGCTGCCATCACCCTCCGTTCCCTTTTCCTCTGCTGCAGTTTCTGCCCAGGCTCTGGGCTGCTGTCCTCTCCTAGTGGCTTTTCCCAGGGCTTGGAGATGCCCAGGCTTCTACCAAGATTTAGGGTTTCCACCCCATGAAGTTCCTTCCTGAGTTCAGGATGGCTGCCAGTGCCTGGGGCTTTTGCCCCGTCCCCTAGCTCTTGACTGAGCTCCAGGCTTCCACCCTTCCCTCCCCCACTCCAATGGGGGTGCCTGGGCTTGGGGCTTTGCCTCCATGGCTCCTGTCAGAGCAGGGCTGACACACCCATTTTTAAGTTGCCTGGCATCCCTGGGCCCATGCGTTAACCTACCACTCACCCTGAGTCTGACTGGCAGTTATTGAGTTCTGTTTGGGGCCTTTCCAGCAGCACTGGGGAGATACCACCTACCCTCCACCTGTGGAAGCCTCCTCCAGCTAGAAGAGACACTGCAACTACTGCCTTCAGAGCTGGGCTCTACAATCACCGCAGAAGCGAGTAGGGCAACACTGTCCCCTCTCCCCCAACAGCTTTGACATGCCCTACAATTCCCTTTGGCTCTGAATCCCTGTCGTTGCATTTCACATATCAAAGTCTGAAATCGTGAAGTTGACCAACTCTAAGATCACATGGCTGTGAAATTGATCTAAGTGAACCATGAATTTGGTAGGGCCCTCCTAAGAGAACACTCAAGCATATATTTTTATTATAGATCTTCATATCAAGTATCTCTAATTAACTATTATGTGATATAGTTATTTGTCTGAGGATACATCTTTAAAGTTAGGACTGGGCTTGTGTACGACTGAATTGGCTGCAACATTATAGAGCTTGTATTCATTTAGAAGGATGTTTATATACAGGATATTCCAAGGAGATGCACAAACTTGGCTTCTGTAGGCTCATGGTTGATTGGGAGTAATTATGTGGTTTCTCAGTAAGTATCAGTGGTCAGCCATAAAGTTCAATTATTTTGGCATGGAAGATCAATAACAGGAGTCTGAAGCAATTATAAGACCCAGGATTCAAAAGTTGCATGGCTAAAAATGATCATTTGATCAATCAGCCCTAGACTTCAACTATAATATAACCTCAAAGAACAATAACTGGTACAATTCTTCCCCTCAAAGCACAATTAATCACTTGGTTTATGCCACTAATCTAAGCTATGTTACTCTCTTCATATCTAGAGCACTCCTCATGCAATATGCCACAGTATGAAAGTGCTCAAATTGTAGATTAAGGTCCATAACCTACTCATAGCATATGGGGAGTATCAAAAGAATATTGTTAAATCTGTCATCATTAATTTCTGTAATAGAGCGCAGCTAACACTACACATTGACTACTGTATTAGGTCAACACAAGACAGCGTCCCTTATAGTAAATATTAAGCAAGCTTTTGAACCAATAAATCTTGTCACTGATCTCAACAGAAGCCAGTATTGGATACCTGATACTCCAGCCCTAGCCCTCCCTATTACCTCTGCCCCGCCTCCCTCCAAGCAGATTTTTCCTCTCTCCTTTCCCAGATGTAGTCATCCACTTCTGACACTAGACAGGCTGACTTTCTTCCTACCCATCCCATTTGGACATAGTGACTTTTTGCTTTGTCCCTGGGACCCAGCCAGGAGTCTTTTCTTCTCACTAGCCTGCATCGTATAACGCACTCTTTAGTTAGGTGTTGTGAAGGACCCCTATCCCACAGGCTCACACAACCCACTCTCCCCTCTCTCTCACTGAAGGCAGCCTGTTCTGCATGATTCAGTCATGTGTCTGACCCTCTGAGATATGAGTATCATCCAGCTACCCCAAGCTGTTATCTACTACGCATTCTCATGGAACACCACTGACATTATCTAGCAGTGCCTATAATGAGAAAGTGTCCAGCATGCATGGGACTTTTCCCTCTTTCTGGCTCCTCCTGATTTCCTTTGCTACAGCAAGTAGCTACTGGGCAGAAGGTAGCCATGATGTTCTTCTCATATTGTTTTTTTCTTGGGGTACAATATGATCTGACATAGGTGATATTAGACCCAGTTGGGCATGGATTGGTTTCTGGCACTCCTCTCAGTCTCCATTTCCTGTGGTGTTATAGAAGCAAACCTACAGCCAAGAAAAACTATCACTGAAGCACACCGCTACTGCTCTGTTCCTTTCTAGTTTGATTGATTACCTCTGTCATATCTGACCAAATGTTGGACTGCCTTTGAATGGGCCCAGATCTCAAGGATGCATGGTTAATTATTCACCAAGGACTTCTGCCATTGCATTACTGTTACTATATTCCATGATGGTGGGAAAGTTCTCTGACACAACAAGATTTGCTGCAACAACAATAAACTAGAAGAAAGAAAAAATTGAAAGCCAACATTTAAAACGCCAAATGTTCAGGGCCACATATAATTGTTGCAACAAATTTGGGAGTGTAATTAGTGACTTACTGCAGCATAGAAGGCTGAGTATGCCTTACAATGTGACTAAACAAGCCATATGTACTAATCATACTTGTTTTCTGATAGTTAAAATAATCTAGAAAGGACTTACTTTTTATTGGGGAAGGAGTTTCAGATACAGTTTTCCTTACTAATGAAAAAATCATGCGTTTATAATTTTGATTGAAAAAATTATGGAGAAAATATAGACAAACATTTTCAATCAACATTGTGACATTTGAAAAAATGTGACGATCTTTGCTTAGCACTAAATATGAGAAGTATGAAAGACCCCTGATATTTGAAGAGTTCTTTCACAGGGCATCCTTTAATCAGAGAAGTCTTTCAGAGGATTGATTGCCAACCACACAATCTTTAAACACAATTCTACAGAGGGAAAGATGTTCAAGAAAACTTTGAGAAAATAAGTGAAAAGCATCAATTATAAGAAAAAAAACATTTTCAATGAGATTCCCTCTTCAGTAAAGTTATTTTAGAGCACAGTATCTAACAAATATAGTTCTGTGCCTTCAGAAAATAGATAAATATAGAAATGAATGTACAGATCCTGCATTTCATTGTTTATGTGCATCTTACTGAAGGGATGCACCTGATTTGCGTGTCTCTGTGCTTGCTTTCAGACACCTTTGTTCGAAAATTAGGCTTGCCAACCCTCTAGGATTGCCCTGGAGTTCACAGGATTTAAAGATTAATCTTTAATTAAAATTATGTCTTGTGATGAAATCTCAAGAAACTCGTCCAATTTGGCCAAAGTTGGCAGCCTTATTGAAAAATGGGGTCCCTGATGTCATTTTCAGACTGCCGTCATAAGGCAGCACTTGTGCCTGCAAACAGCATTACTGCAGCAATTCATCCTTCCCAGGAATTGCAGGAAGTACCTTTCTAAAGTAGGTGTTTGGGGAATGTATTTAGGAAAAAAAGAAGGCTCATTATAGGGTAACACAGAGGACCATCTCACTGGCTGGTGTATCATTTAATGTTCCCAACAGTGGCAAAATTTCAGTCCCTTTCTTCAGGGATAGGATTATTCCTCAAACCAAAACAATTCAACAGAAAACAAATAAAAGAAGTCATGCTACCTTGCTACCTCCCAGGTCTTTTTCCCAAGTCAAGATCCTGCATGAGGCCCTATCTATTCTCAATAGGTGTCTCTCCCCTGCCTGAGTTCCTTGCTGGTCTTTCAAGTGATGATCATGTGAACAGCAAATTATCCCTCTATCTTGCTCTTTGACATTCTGAGGCGTTGGCAGCAAATCTGCTGATTCTAAGATATCTGCTACAGTTGCCGGTGTTTAAGAATGGTTTGGTTTGTTATCTTTGGCTTTGGCAGCTGATCTCTAAACATCTGGGCTGGGATTCACTTCTCTCCAATCAAGTTGTAGGGAACCCCATGTATGTTGTCAATGCCATTGTGATGTAATGGTTATGCGAGTATCAAAAAATAAATCCAGCATGTAGGAGATAGCTAATTAGCCATCAGTGGAGTTCAGCCCAATTCCCTAAAAAGGAATCCCACCCTGTGACACAAAAGCCATGATGTAGGTCACACCAAAATTCCCCCCCACCTCCCATATAACCTACTACCTAACAACTCTGGCCATAGGTATCTGAATATCCTGGATGCAGATAGGGAAGATTTTTTCTTATCACACCAGTTCATTTTTTGTGATAGTAAAAGGACCTCAAAATCCTCCAAGGAGGAAATTCATTCTCTCTCTCTCTCTCTCTCTCTCTCTCTCTCTCATATATATATAGAATTCAGCAAATGGTTTAAAGAACAGGAGCATTTTCAAAGGGAAGATTCTTCCTCAATTCCATAAACATTCTTCAAGAGAGTCAACTGCTGAGTGATGTGCAGCTATTTAATGAGTTAATCTCTCTCAGCTATTTGAACTCTCAGAAGGGCTCCCACCCTGTTAGCTATGTGATATCTTTGAAATGAGCCTTTCAAATGATTATAAGAATATATTAAAAAGCAGCTAATTTAAACTGAACTTTACCACAATTCCCATCTGGATCAGGTTGTGAGTAATGAGAGTAGGGGCAGAGGGTTTGTTATTGTTGAGCTCTTCTGTAATTACTGCAGTCAAGTCTGAGATAGCCACTGGGCTACATAAATTATTCCTGGTATCAGTAGAGATACATCAGTTATGATTTGGATCTCTGTGTTTCACAAGCTTGGTCTTACTGTCCGTTTAACACAGCAATTCAAAATTAGTTATTGGCTGCAGTGATTTACATCTGCTCTAGCAGAACATCAGCCTACTCACATATTTCTTAAACACATAATGCAAGACCAACATACAGTGGCATAATTTTTCCCTGAATATTGACATTTTAAAGCAAATTTCCAATTGATCATGTTCTCAGCCTTTGTCACAAACATTCAAAAGTACTAGTCTCATGAAAAGCAAGTATTGTGCTTAAATGTTAATTAAAAGCAAAGTTTAAATAGTAATATTGATTGTAATAATTGCAATTCACAATCTAGGTATCCTGCTTTATTGGTTAGTTGTGTAAGTCATTCACTCAAGCAGCAAAAAATACTAGCATGTGACATCTCCATTTCTGTTTCATTTCATGTTCACTGCACCATCTCCACTTCTCCAGTAATGCCATCCATTATGCCCATTAACAGCCATCTCCTGTTTCCACCTACATTCTCCTGTGCATTCCCCAGCTCATGATATGCCCTCCCCAAACAAGTTCACCTGGCCACTTACTTCTCTTCATTAAAATTCCTCCTGTACATTAACTCCTACCATATCTCCCACAAGTGAAAAAATTAAAGTAACATACCCACACCTTGCTGAGTAACCATATAACCAAATCATTGTCATCTTTTTCTTCCTTTTCACCTCTAGGTTCATTTATGACTCTCACTTATGGCCAGGGGTCTGATTTTGCAAGGACACAATTTATCTTGCCCTTCTCTTTAAGCAGCATGTCTCCACAACACCTGCCTACTCTGTACCATTACTTAAAAGCCACAACCTTGCTTGAGCATGTTCTTTTCTTACATATAAACATATAACAATGGCCATATTTACAAGAGCAGTCTGGACAAAGTCCAAACAGAAACAAACTTCACCTGGTATGAATGAACACTCTGAAGAACACTGCAGGAGAGAAGCACTTGACATTTACACTGTTGCTACATCAGAACAGCCTCTATGCTATGCTGACGGGCCGCGTATAAAACAG